AATTAAAACCATGCTGACAATCTTTAAGATATTGTACACACCAAGAAATTAAACTTATTTTAAATGCAAGTTCATTTCTTCACGTACTACAAATAATCGTATCCAGGAAGACTAGAATCCTTCTCTTCCCCTCCAAGAGCACATGCAGGTCAGTTTTCTTGGTAAGAAAAATGTATCTTTTTGCCAATCTTTTGCTGTTTCATAATTCCTCAAGTTAATATACTTGGCACAAAGTAACCATTTCCAGTTAATACAGTAACAATAGAAACCAGGGTTTCTTTGATATGCACAAGTGATGCCTAAGGCCTTACATTCAGCTGCAGAACAGGGAGGCAGTGGGGGGGGGCGGGGGGGAGGGATGAACCTGGGTACGGTTAGGACCAATTTCAGGGGCTGTGCAGGAGAAACGTGGTCCTCGCAATGGAAGAAGTACACGAAAAACATTTCTCTATGAGCCCCAGTTTTCTCAACATTTTCAGAACGCCCAAATACACATCATATGTCTGAAGAAGTCATTACCAAACTAAGTCTGACACCAGAAAGTACAAAAGTCTCCAAGGTCAGTTCTCATCAGTGTCACGCAGCCCAGGCACCCACATCTCTCCCCCACTTTCCACTGGGAGGTTTGATAATCGGGCATTTCACTTAAATGAGTGAAAAAAAGGTATTACTGAGAAAAATCCTTTGTTTCCATTTAGTAATAAATAATGCTTAGAATTTTTGTAGTTCCATATATACTACTGTTTAAAAAGAATTTTATTTTAATTTTTGTAGGAAGCAACCTTATTTTCTCTTTCTGTAATTTAAGGTTTTCTGAAAATAGTCATTTTGTTAGATGTTTCTATACAGGCTAGAAGGAAAGCATATTGTCATTTGCTAAATCTATTTACTTCTGTTTATCTGCTGTTTGCCCTGGTGTCCTGCTCAGCAGGTTGTTTTAAAGTATAGCACCGCCAGTTTCCTGGACACTTTTTAAATTGTCCTCTTCATAGTGGGTGCCTTGCTCCTCCGTCCTGCCTCTATTACCAAGACCAAATCATAATTTTCAAGCTGCAAAATCTATCCAGCTTTCATACGATATTCTAACATTATGTGACATAACACTCTTGCAATTAGAATGACAAAAATTAAGCTCTACAAATGAAAACTAGATCCCACTCTTGGGCAGTTTTTATAAGTTGTTTCTTGTCCCTTATTTTCAAATCTTCATATTTTCAGTCTCTTAATAATGGATGAAGGGGTATAAGTCCCTACAAGTAAACCAAGCTATACCTGGAAGTTTTAATTATAACTACTTTTGTACTTACTAATCTTGTAAGTCCCTAAGTCCTGCTAAGTCCCTATAATATCATCTTGAATATCCTGGGGCTCTCACTGGTCTTGACTTGGATTTGAAGAATTTCTGTAACTTTTGAACACTGGATTTGTTAGTTAGAAAGTAGCTGCTATCATGAGGTGTTTTCTCAAAAGAGCAAAAACCATAAATCTCAACCAAATACGAAAAATTGAGGTTAAACAAAATTTTAAGTCCAATGAGCTCTATTAATATTCTCTTTCTTACCTTCACTTCTGATTGCATACTTAGTTCTGCATATACTTAAGGTAGTTCTAATCAGAGCAGGCATAAAATTCAGCAGCCTCTCTCCAGGTTTTTCTATTTTATTCCAATCTTCATTAGTGCCTCTATTATTCATGTTGACTATAAATTATCAAAATAAAAGCTATAATCTATATATTGAGTGAATATTCATTCACTCATTTAACGTGCAATTATTGAATACCCTACTCTTGATAGAGACATTAGATTAAAACTGTTAATTTAAGCCTTTTTTAAAAAAAGTAAAGTGAAAGCCAGATTCTATTGTAGAATGATGCTGGTTTAGGTATTACCAGTTACCTATAGTTATCTTATGTGTCTAGTTGTAAAAAAGAAACAAACATTTTGAAGCATTTGGCAGAAGAATAAATTTTGCCTAACTTAAAACAATTAAAAAGTTAAACTAACACATTAAATGTGTTCCTTACCCGTACCTTAAGTGACATGAGGGCCTAAGGGGAGACTACTCTCTTCTTTTCATAATTACGCAAATTTGCTCACTTGATTTTCTCAAATTCAAAACAATTTTGTTCATTTTTATAGAAAGTGAATTCTAATTTCCCTGCATTGTTTAGATAAATAGTGCCCCATGTAACCTGTTGCATATTAATTCCGATTGTGACAATGGTTTTCTTTAATAAACACTATCAAGTATTCGACGGAGATTTTGTTTTTGTTTCAAGTGTTCTTCTGTCATGAGTTTCAATAGCAGTTTCACTCATTTACTATTTTTTTTCAGCTATCACTGTCCAAGGATACAAGTGCATAATTTGCTCCACGGAGAACACTAAGTCTTTAATACGTGAATCTTTTGTTCGAGAAGACAATCATAGAAGCCTCTAGGTAGCTATTCTTGTCAAAATGCTTCTGGAATAATACGGCCGTGAATCCTTTTCTCTTCATTTTACTACCACCTTTTAAATTTAATGAATTCATGCAAATTGAAAACAAAATCCCCAAACAAAAAGTATACAGTTTAGGAAAATGTACACTCTTCCACATGCTCAAACAGGCTCACTTTCCCTCGGCATTGGGTACTTAGAAACCAAACCTTATAAAATTCTTCTAAAAAGAAAAATTAACATGTTTGCAAGCTATTACATTATGAAACTTTGTATTTGCATAATGTTAAAAGTTTAACCTTCTTATACACATACACAGAATGCTTTTTCTTTACAAAATCACCTACTTGCACAGGAATTCGTTTTGGGCAGAGCTAAGACTAAAATGAATCTGCCGAAGCTTTTTTTTTCTCTTGGTTTCTGTGGCACTGATTTGTCATTATTTTCTTGCCAACTTTGATCTTTTAAGTCCTTAAATACATCTGTTCCCGAAGGTGTGGTGGTCATTCCTTTTTTCTTATCTCTTCACTGTAAATCTATTTTTCCATCTCAAAGTGTTTTAGCTAATTCCTGAAAAGATTTGGCTCCAACCTTGACCTTCCCCTGACTGTTAGCCCCTTACTTAAGATTAACATTTAAATTAGTCCACGGGGACATCCCACTGTCCTCTCAAATTCACTTTATCCACAGCTGATTCCTATTTGTTGCATTAAGGTGACAACCTTAAGTCAGTTATGTTCAGCTAAAACTCCGTGGCTGCACTAATCAGTGCAGACACTCGTAACAGTTCATGACAATCATGTGAACATCATACTGAATAGGAGACTGGATATTGTGAGTGTGGCTGGAACCCTGGAGGAGTAAGTGGACAGGGCAGTTGCTATGCATGCTCTGAAGCTCTTCTAGGTAAGGCCTGGGACAAAGAGATGCTACGATATTGAATAAATGAAGTGAAGAGGAACTTCAGCGAAGTGAGAATGATCTTTAGGTGTCTTATGGGCTGAATGATGTTACCCCAAAACTCATACGTCGAAGTGAAAATTCACTCTCTCGCACCTTGAAACCAGTATGTGACTTCATGGCTTCCCCTGCAGGACCCGTGTATGTCTTCTGGGCTTTGTGGCAGCAAGTTCAAAGATGAGACCAATTCTGAAGGTGGAGGACTGACGTCCAATCCAGCTTTTCCCCTTCCCCACCTTCACCTTCGAATGAATCTCATCCAACAGCCGTACCCACCACCACGTGATTCCCAGAATCAGCGGTCCCCATTTCATCTAGTTCTTTTTGGATTTTCACGTGTGATTCTGATTCATCATTATTCTCCCCGTCATCTTGTTTACTCTCTTTAGTTGTATGAACCATCCTCTCCCGGTTCTTCTTCTGCCCCTATGATGTTCTCCAGCAGGCCCCTTGCCAGCGCTTCTCCTGCCTACAGCTACATTTCATATATGTTGATTTCAACATGCCATCTGTTCCCACACCTAGGATCTTCACATCTGAATTTTCCCATGGGTCATCTTACACGTTCTTGATATCTTAAGCAATACTGTATGCCTCTTGCCTCCCTCCGTTTCTGATCCACAGCTCTCTCCAGTTCTCACATCGTCCCTGATGTAGAGACTCAGATACAGCACTGCTGGACAGCTCCTCCCGAAGGTGCCCTGAGCCGTGGGGCTGCATACGCCTATGCCGTTTTCCTCCCTCAAACAATGATTCCACCATCACTTTTCCTAGGAGTCTAGACACAACTGATAAATCACCAAACTCTAAAAAACTAACCTGTCTAATATTTCTTCTATGTGCTGTTATCTTCTCCAGCTCTGTTGCTATTGCATTGGGTGAGACCCTGCTGATCTATTGCTCAGGCTGCCTCACAACCTCTTAATGGGGCCCTCTGACCCTGAACCTGGACTCCTGCATCTGTCTTCTGCACAATCTTCTCTGCTGTACATTGTTCTAGGCTATACATTGTGGTATATTAAAAAATATAAATCTGCCTCTGACACTCCCCTGATAGAAAGGGTTTAGTCATTTCTGTTATCTGAAGGGAAACAATTCATACAACACACAGCACTGTTCATAAGCTTCCTGTTATGGGGTTTGCACAACCATTCTTAATGAGGTCTTTAGTCATGACTTTGAGTCCCCTACCTGGCACCATGTACTCTAGTGACATCTAATTGCTGGGCGTTCTCCCGATCTTAGCAGGCTGTGTAATCCTCTGTGCACACTCCGCTCTCTCCCATGAGTTCCTTTTCTCTCTGCTTCTCCCTCAGGCTTTCTGATTTTTCTCTGGATTTCCTCGGGGACCCACTCTTGATTAAACAGATGATAATTTTCTATGCTCTCACCTACTCCTACCAAACACAGTGCATTGGAAAAACAGGCTAAAAATTCTTAGATATGGGAATATTTTAGTTTCAGTTTCCAACACCTGGCAAACTGGTCTGAATTCGTTCAGCATTAGCCATTAAAAGTTATTCACACTCATTTTATTACAGTGGTTCACACCTGAGATCTCTATGCCAGATACAAAGGTCCTTTTAATATTCCTTACTCACCATATTTATGGGATCCACTGGTCCAATACTGTTTACATAAACGTCAGTTTCAATTACAGTAGGTCTCACTGCAAAATACCAACAGAAAGAACGGTCAGACTTATAACCGGAGGTCATTTTAAATACATTTTAATTTTAAATAAATCTTAAAAACTAATGATTTTTTTACCATTTCAATCATGAAAGATCCTGAAGTACAGAAACACGGCCCCTTACAAAAATATGGACACCACCTTTTCAGTTTTAAAATCAATCATGTAAATAAAAATTAATGTTTTTAATGAAAAATTCCAGTGTGCAAATGAAAAATATTTAAAATATTTAGATTATCCACCAAAATTAAGGGAGTGGATCCAATAAAAATTTGGCTACTTGCTCTGAAATAGTTATAGCTTTTATGATTAGAATGCATTTTCAATATATCTCCTTCTACCTAACGGTCCTCAGTACTACAGTGGTAAATGTTTAAGGAGCTCGTTCTCAGAGACAGGGCTTGCTCCCAAATTATTGCTTTTGTTGGTTTTATGGTGTAAAAAATCCCACAATGGCTGATTTAAAGATATCAACCTGAAATCACTGAATGTAGGGACTACACAATATATTATATCATATTATATGTTACATAGTAAGAGGCTATTTTGAGCCAATAAATGCCAATTTCAGCACATACTAGAATGAGAATTATATTATGAGGATTAAAAGACAATGTATGTTAAGGAAATTTCTCCAGGTCTGACGTTCATGAACAGCTTAATAATTATCTGTCCCTGTCTCCGTCCTCCCTTGCTTACAATATTTCATTAATTTGCTTATAGTTGATCCAGTGCAAGGCCTATTTTTACCTAATTCTCACAGAATATAATACGGATTGACATAAGACCTTATCAACTGTGTTTTGTAGATGAACATAAATGTTCTTCCAAGTAATTTTTAAATAACACATACAATATTATATTGTTCTGTTAAAACGTATATAGCTGGTAAGCTTTTTTAAATGTTTACCAAATAGCATAATTAACAAATACCTACAGGACTGCCATAACTGGGGCATTTACCATTAATGAGACTTACCATAATAATAACTTTTACATTTTTCTGTTTACTAGAGAATATATTTGTACTTTCTTTTACACTGACCATCACAAATACCAACTAAGATATAAAGGATTAATTTAGTGAATCAGCCAATGCTTATTGAGGGATGGCCGTAAAGGATGCATGAGGTAGACCAGAAGGAGAGACACGTTCCAGGGCTGTATCTCACTCTCACAATAATTATACTGAGATAAAACATATTAGATATAGCAGAAACTTTTCCAGCAGATGGAAAATGCATAGTCCAATCTGCCAGTCTGAGTATCCGTCCAGCCTTAATTTACCTGTTTTGGAATTTTTTAGTCTGGCAGAACCCTCAAGCTAACAAAGTTTGAAGAAAGACTCAAAGTATTTTTCAAGATACTGTCTATATAATTTTAAAATAATTAAAAAGTTGCCACTTAGGAAAGCATGCAATGTTTACACAGTTTATTCTTTTCTTGAAAAATTGTATTATGTAACATACATATTTTCTTAACGAGAAAGACAAATGAGATTTGTTAGAAATAGTGCGAGTGTGGGGAACTCTGTAAAGTTCCCAAACCTGTACAGTCCTTTGAAATGTCATTTAGTCTCTGCTTCCCAACAATTAGATACTGTAACTAAAAGTAGGCTGTATGACTTACAGAAGGTTCCACAATTTCCCTTCGGCTCATGCCTTCTGAGATGAGTTGCTGTAACAGTCATTTGTTTCCAACTAGCTATGAATTCTAGCCAATAAATATCACATAATTAATGTAATTATAGGTAGATTTACAATATAATTTTATGAAAGCCAATTAATAAGGCAATAAATTTATTAGTCCAATTTGTAAATATATTTATTATAATAGAAGCAATTATAACTAACATGAGCAATGTACCACTCTTACATAATTAGATTTTTTTGGTTAAATTGAATCAACCAGCACTGCATACCTGTTTTTATTTTACTAAATTTAGAGCTGAACAGTGTTTACAATGAGGAAAAAAATAGTTCCTGGGACATTTTTATCTACAATATTTACGTTGTAGAACATTTCACATGTGAATGAGCAACCCTTGTTTCCTGGTATAATTATTTCTTAGCCAATGATAAGATGAACTTTGGTATATTATAAAAAAATATTAATTCTGGCATATGGACATAAGGTCCATGGCCTTGGACACAGTGAGGAATTTCATGATCAACGTGGGATGATATGAAAAAGGAATCATATTAGTAAGTCCAATGTGAAGCATTCCCACTGATAAAGCAGATACTCATTAGGAATTGTTAAATCTGTATCTGCAAAGTATGGATCTCTTTTGAGTTATTCTATATCCTGTTTTTTAACTTTGGGTAAGAAAACCACACACTGCCTTGAGTCTGCAGCCCCTAGTCCCATGGAAGAACCTGAAAGTAAATTAAAATATCTCAGAGGAATTGGGGGGCTCTAGCTGGAGCGTCCACGCTTCAGAAGGTACAGTGCAGAGGAAAGCGGCAGAGATCTGTGATTGCTCCTTAGCAATGACTCACTGCCACATTCACGTTTCCAGGAAGAATACGTGTGGGTAAAATTACATAAAGTACAGGCTTCTTGGAAATTGAGTAAGTAGTTTTTTAACACTGTGATTTTCCTGCTCCAGAGTTTGTTCAATCACAGGGTATTAGCAATGTTTAAAAAGGAAAACATCATATTTTAATACGAAGCTAGAAAAATAAAACTAAATGGAAATTGTCATTCCAGGCTCATTAAATCATGTCCTGAAAATGGGCACACTCTACAATGTTTAATTAATCAACACACAAGAAGACTTTGCAATAGTGTAACAATGAACAGGAAACTATGTACGGCCACAGTAAGCTACATTTTGTGTGTGTGTGTGGAATGCAGGTAGAGACGACACTGGACTATTTCTGCAACACTTATTTCTGTGCTGTGATTCGAAGTACTGTGCTAGGAGCAGCTCACCAGAATATAAGTAGATAAACTCCCGGTGGGAGTCAGGATATAGAGAGAATAGAGGTCCAAGGCAATTTAAAGAACATTCGGTGAACAGAAACAGGATGAAAAACGTAAAGATTTAAAAAGAAGAAAGCAGGGGAATCAATATGGTGTCTACGTTCTGTTTCCAGGTAGCAAAGGTACCACTGAGAAGACCCGATTTGAGAGGTGGGTATTTGGTTTGTGAATCAGAAAATATCCACGAAAATGGATTTTTAGAATAATTTCTTTACAATTTATGTTAACCATGCTTTCTTGGACACTTCATTTCAATGTTTCTGAGATATTTTTCATAGATTATGTAGCTTTTTGGCCACTTTTTATACTAAAATTAATTTAGGTCAAATAAAATCTCCACAGCCCTGGAGAGTAAATTTCATAGACTTTTCTTATTGTCCCAGAATAGACTGTAAAAAAAAAAAAAGAAAAAGAAAAGAAAAAGTCCCACTGATGCAGATATTACAATTATCACACACATTTATTTCTTTCTTTATTCATTGGTGCATGAATTTTATTTCCATTTAAAAATTTCATTCAACTAAGAAAATTATTCTTTATTTTCAGTAGTCTAGGCCCAGTTCCCAGAAAGCAACTACCTAGAGGTGGGCCCTTTACACTCTCGTTGCCTTTGGCTTCTTTTCTGCTCCCTGCCCGTATATAGATTTTTCTTTTTTACCAAGCTCTGTTCAAAAGTTAAATGAAGCCTTTTTTAAGTTTTTCTTTTTCACAGATTCATCTGTTTCTATCTGCAAATAACTCCTTCAAATACCTACTGTTTGACTCAGCTGCTACATGCAGGAGAGTCAATAATTCTCATTTCTTGTAATATCCAGGTCTAGTTGAGTTACCAGGACTATGCTGGCTTTGTAAAATTAGTTTGGAATCTTTTTTTCTGTGTTTATTTGAGAGAGTTTATGCAAGATTTATATTGTTCCCTTCTTACATATTTGGTAGAATTTACCAGTGAAACAACAAAGAAGAAAAAAAGGAGCAATTATTTCTGAACTGGATCCTTATTCTATAAATACATTACTGAGACAGTTGGAAATGGGGGCTAAGTATGTCCTGTTGGTCCTACATAAATATTACCTTTACGGATTTTATGGCTGAACTATGCTTATGTAAGGTTGAAATGATACAAATATGTTTTCTGACCAAAACAAAGTTAAAATGGACGGTGATAAAATTCTTGAGAAATTCCCAAATTAAGTTACATGTAAATATAGGCCATTAATCAGAAAAAAATCATCTGGAGCAGTTTGGGTCCAGATACTGCTTCCAAGGCCTGAAGCAACAGTGGAATGTCAGCCTCTACTCCATAATCATCCTTTTCAGGGTATGTATGGATAGATACTCGGGTAATACGGGTAGAAAGGTGCACATGGGTAAACAGATCCCTATGACTGTGCTTCTAATACCATAGCCAGTACATATGGCTATAGGACAGTTTATCCTTAAGTAGAAAAGAATTACAGTTAAACAAAATAAAAATGTATTTTCCCTATCTTGGCTATTGTGAATAGTGCTTTAATCATCATAGGGGTATAGATATCCTTTCTTTTCATTGGAATAAATACCCAGTAATGCAATTTCTGGATCCTATAGTAGTTCTGTTTTTAGTGTTCTGAGAAATCTCCAGATTTATTTATTTATTTATTTATTTTCTTTCTTTCTTATTAGTATATATGTTCAAAAGCTACAAGAAAGGAATCTGAATATCCCCAATACAAGGAAATAATAAATGTTTAAGGTAACAGATATCCTAAAAAAATGTATTTTCATAGCCACACTAACCACATTTCAGGTACAGAAAAGCCACATGTGACAAGTGGTCACAAGAAAAAAAAAAAAAAAGGACAATGAAGAGTAACATTTCCATCACTGCAAAAAGTTCTGTTAAAAAATATCACTGCTTTTGTAGGTTATTTTGAAAATGTATGGGTAGCTACTTAGGTTTGTCACGAAAATTGAAAAAAAATACATATTAGAATTATTCAGTGAGTGAA